TGTGTTCCTTTTTTTTTTTATTTTATTATTTTTTTTTGACAGGCAGAGTGGACAGTGAGAGAGAGAGACAGAGAGAAAGGTCTTCCTTTGCCGTTGGTTCACCCTCCAATCGCCGCCGCGGCCAGCGCGCTGCTGCCGGCGCACCGCGCTGATCCGATGGCAGGATCCAGGTGCTTTTCCTGGTCTCCCATGGGGTGCAGGGCCCAAGCACCTGGGCCATCCTCCACTGCACTCCCTGGCCACAGCAGAGAGCTGGCCTGGAAGAGGGGCAACTGGGACAGAATCCGGCACCCCGACTGGGACTAGAACCTGGTGTGCCGGCGCCGCTAGGCGGAGGATTAGCCTAGTGAGCCGCAGCGCCGGCTACTGTGTTCCTTTAAAACTGTCTAATGAATTAAACAATTTAACCACAGCAATTGATGCAAAGAATTTTGGTGATGATAATCAAGTTGTGCAGTTGTTATCAATTAAAGATGATCCCCAAAGTCAACATATGACAGTAAGCCACGTGTTTCATCTTACAAACAACAATAAAAAGAAACCAGTGACTGCAGAAAAGCAAAGCAAGATGCTAACATGCCCAAAAAACCTGTGCTTGGAGCTTACCGTGGTCAAATTGTTCAATCGAAGATTAATTCTTTCAGAAAACCTCTACAAGTCAAAGATGCAAATTTGACAACGACAACGAAACTTGTAACTACTGTCTCTAAAGCCACAAAGCCTCAGCCTATAAACACTAGCAGTGAAACAGTGAAAAGTGCGCAACCCTCAAATATGACAGCCGCCACTAAATCTGTGAGCACTACATCTCAGAATACACAACTTGTGAGACCTCCTATTAGAAGTCACCATGATGGCCGGCACCGCGGCTCACTAGGCTAATCCTCCGCCTTGCGGTGCCGGCACACCGGGTTCTAGTCCCAGTCGGGGCGCCGGATTCTGTCCTGGTTGCCCCTCTTCCAGGCCAGCTCTCTGCTGCGGCCAGGCAGTGCAGTGGAGGATGGCCCAAGTCCTTGGGCCCTGCACCCCGTGGGAGACCAGGATAAGTACCTGGCTTCTGCCATCGGATTAGCGCGGTGCGCCGGCCGCAGCGCGCCGGTCGCGGCGGCCATTGGAGGGTGAACCAATGGCAAAGGAAGACCTTTCTCTCTGTCTCTCTCTCTCACTGTCCACTCTGCCTGTCAAAAAATAAAAAAAATAAAAATAGAAGTCACCATGATAATACCCAAAACATGGGGAAGCAAAGCATCAGTAGGACCTCGGCCAATGTTATCATCCAGAAAGGTCCTTGGGAAAAATAGTTATTACAATCAAAAACAGCTTTATCTAGTGTCAAAACTGCTTCTTCTCAGGACATAAAAAGAAACAAGGCACTGTCAAGAGGCATAGCATCTGAAATGGTAGCCAAGCCTATCTCATCTTCTAATACCAAATTGGTAGAAAAGTCAAAACCCGTTGACCAGCAAAGACCTACTATAGCAACAGCAACTGTTAGTAGTAGGTCAGGTCAACCCAAAGAAACTGCAGAACAGAGAAAAGCTCGTCTGAATGAGTGGAAAGCTGGCAAAGGAAGAGTATTGAAAAGACCTTCTAACCCAGTAGTTCAACAACCTGAGCCTGAGGGACAAGCTGAAAAACCAGTGGGGTCCTTCTGGACTACCATGGCAGAAGAAGATGAGCAAAGACTATTTACTGAAAAAGTAAACAAGACAATTTCTGAATGCCTGAACCTGATTACTGAGGGGTGCCCCAAAGAAGAAATGCTGATATACTGAATGACCTGATTAAAAATATACCAGATGCCACAAAACTTGTTAAGTATTGGATTTGCCTTGCACGTATTGAACCAATCACAAGTCCTATTGAAAATATTATTGCAACCTATGAGAAGGCCATTCTGGCAGGGGCTCAGCCCATTGAAGAGATGCCGCACACGATTGTAGATATACTAACAATGGAGAGTCAAGAAAAAGTTAATTTTGTGAAACTCGATGAAGGGTGGGATAGGAGCGGGAGTGGGAGAGGGGAGGGCCGCGGGAGGAAGGGAGGTTGGGGGGGAAGCCACAACAATACAAAAGTTGCACTTTGTAAATTCACATTTATTAAATAATAAAAAAAAGAAAAAGTTAATTTTGGAGAGGCTTATGCAACCAAGGTACAAATCCAAGAAGGCAACACTGAAGATAAAGATCTTAATCTAGAACCAGTTAAACAGGAAATACAAAATAAACATCATAGAAATGTGGTGTTTCAAGATTGTGAAAAAGAACAAGATGATAAAACAAAAGATTCAACCAATGATGTTAAAACCCCCAATACTGAAACCAGAGCAAGTTGCATAATTAAATATAATGTATCCACTTGCAAAGTGTAAAAAAGAAGATAAAATTCGATGAAACGAATTCTACATTTAAAGAGCTGAAATCTCTGACACCAGTGAGACGTTCCCGTCGTCTTCAAGACAAGACTTCCAAATCGCCAGATATGTTAAAAGACCATTATCCTTGTTTGTCTTCACTGGAGCAGTTAACAGAGCTGGGAAATGAAACCGACGCTTTTGTCTGCCGTCCTAATGTAGCACTCTGCACGATGATCTCCGAGACCAACACAACAGATTATTCCTGAGTGTTGTCTTTTGTGTGGCTTTGTATTTCTTTTTGGTCTGGAGATCGCCAAGTCCCTAAGTGTGTGTGTGTGTGTGTGTGTGTGTGTGTGTATATATTTGACAGGCAGAGTGGACAGTGAGAGAGACAGAGAGAAAGGTCTTCCTTTTGCCATTGGATGACCCTCCAACGGCTGCCTCGGCTGGCGTGTTGTGGCGGCCCACCGCGCTGATCCGAAGCCAGGAGCCAGGTGCTTCTCCTGGTCTTCCATGGGGTGCAGGGCCCAAGCACTTGGGCCATCCTCCACTGCCTTCCCGGGCCACAGCAGAGAGCTGGCCTGGAAGAGGGGCAACCGGGACAGAATCCGGCGCCCCGACCAGGACTAGAACCTGGTGTGCCGGTGCCGCTAGGTGGAGGATTAGCCTATTGAGCCGCGGCGCCGGCCAGTCCCTAACTATTCTAAGTATTCATGACAGTGAGCTCCTTTACTAACATTTATCTTATAACAGGCATTGCCTTTCTATGCAATGAAAACATAATCCTGCCTTGTCAATCTCAACAATTTTCTTTAAAATAAATAGTTTAAAACAGCTAATTTACTGTGTTCCTAGACTATAAACAGGTTTGGTCATGTTAGCTTCTTTACTAAATCTAAGTACAGTAGAGATGTATCATCAGAAAATAAAATATTCTTGATAAAGTTTCTAGTTTTGCATTTTAAAAGTTGTGATACTTTTCTTTGAGTAGAACAACTGCCTTCAAGTATACAACGAGGTTTGGCTTGCTTTTCCACCAGATTCCTGTTACCCACACTGTTGTGCCCTGCTGTGTCTCTTGGACAGCTCGTGGTTCTTCACTGTCACTTCATCAGTGATAGCCTGTGTCTCTGGTCTCTTGGCCTCTTTCTTTTAATTACAACTGAGGTCACCAAAAAGGACAAAGAGCCTATTCCTAAAAGAGGGTTCTTTGTGTAAGAAAGAAAAGAAGCCACATTTTGTAGATATTTGAAACTTTAAAGTGAGTTCCTTTTATAAATTGACTACCTAAAACATTAACTTCCATAGCTTCATTTGATAGTTTATAAACTATTAGAATTGAATTAGGAAAGGGAATATATAATATTTAATAAATGTCAATCTTGTTGAGGTATCATTTCTAAAATGATCAAATATTTATACTTGCTTTCTCCTCTATAACAACTTTACTTCTCAGTCATGACTCCAGCAAAATAAAATTTATATTCAGTTAAGCATTTTCTCCTCATATATAAATCCACCAATAAAGCTGTTTTGTAAGTCCCAGAACTAATATTTTCATTTCATACATGCTTTTGTAACTAAAATTTCAGTAAGTGAATTGTAAAAGATTAGTTTAAAAACTATGTATGTAATATGAATGTGGTTGAAGATCATATACTTACATCTTATGTATATTCATTACATTTGTATAATATCTCTGTTCTATTTATTGTGTTCTTATGTTCTAGAGAGTAGGATTTTTATTCTTTTTAACTGTGTACCTGATATGTATACCATAAAAATATCTGTATAGTGATGTTTCAAAGACAACAACAACAAAAAAGATCTTTGAGATTGCCCTTCCCATCAAGGGTATTTATAACATTGTTGGTTCTATACCTAAATGTTTTTTCTTTTAGGCTCAAAACTTTTCCCAAGATTTCTAGGGTTTGCAACACTTTGGTAAAGTATGCTTTTGTAAACAAAGATTTTTAAAAAAGTTTGCTTTTTGATACTGAATTCCTCTGGAGTTCAAAAGTTACTAATGGATATTTTTATTTTTCATGGCATTGTGACTATTTGCAAAAATCCATTAAGGGATCTGATCTCTTCTTAATAGAATATAATGTGAAACTGTTGTGCCTGGGAGAGTGCTGACAGAGGAGGGCAACACACTGATGAACTTTTTGCTGGTGGTTGAGAGTGGGCTCATGCCCTAAACAACTCTCGACACTGAAGCCCAGAGCAATGGGTTTATAAAGGCACAAACCACAAGGGGGGGGGGGGATACATGTTGCTAGGGTCTGGCTGACCTAAAGCATATGCACAACTAATACCAATTACAGTCTGGACATCAGTCCAGGTGCCAACCTGAATCACATGTGGGACATAGACAAATTACAATGTAAACATGAATCCAGGTGCAGCCCATCTGTTTTAAGCTTGATCGATCATGCCAGGGAATCTATGTTCTGCCAAGTGAGGTGTAGTGTACTGTTACTGTGTTAGTTGTAGATCATAGTTAGTTTCAGAGCATAGAATCATGGTGGGGGTTGCTTTCTCAAGTGTTAGGAAAAGAGTGCAGATTGGTGCCTCCTCACACGGGACACCAAAATGTTAGGAAAAGAGGTGCAAAACAGAGAGGAGACAGAGTACAAACTTGGCGCCAGACCGAATTTATTCAGAGAAAATAAATCCGCAGGGGTTGACCAATTGCCATCAGACTCACAGAGCAAACTCCTGGCAGAGGCCCGGACTCCAGCCTGCTGGGCCCTTTTATGTCTTAGGTGGACCGGGGTTGGGGGTGGGGGGTAGGAGATGAACTTTTCCATACTGGTTCTTCAGGTCTGGCCCACGGGCTTCCAAATCTGGAGAAAAATGGGGTGGGGAACAATGCAGGGTGTGAGAGGGCAGAGATAAGAAGAAACCTAAAATGGCCGAGGCTTCTGTCCTTGTCCCATCAGTCTTGGGTGCTCTAAAATGGAGTCCCTACTGTCAGGGTGTCGCTTGATTCCCCTCTTTGTGTTTTGACAATAATCAGATTCTTGCTTTAGTCACATGATGCCATTGATCAGGAAGGTTATTTAGAGCAGAGTGATAGGTGTGCCTATACATAAGTTTAACAGAAGCTGTACTTTGTTTAGTGAAACTGAGTAACCAGTCAAGAATTCAGGGGCCTACAATGAGGAGGAGGAGGCTATTTTGCAGGACAACCCCTGCAAGAGACTTGAACTCACCAGAAGATGGGAGGTGGCTGATGTTGGCACCTGGGAAATACCTGGCTCACCCCAAACCAAGGCTGCTGTGCTGAGCCCAGGCAGGAATGAAAGTAACAAGACGGCAGCACGACCCTGGCAATAGTTAAGGTCAGGGGGAGATTAAGTGTCCTCCCTCAGGTCCGTGGTAAGCATAGAGCTGAAGAAGCATGTGTCCAGTAACACAAAGGATGGGGCCTTTTGGTGCCAGCCTGAATGCGAGGTGGCTGCCAAGAGCCAGCTTTTTCTTTGGCGGACTCGGCTGCCCTGCTGCTGGTTTTTGGGTGGAAGGTTTGTGAATAGCTTGAAGATGTGGTTGAACAGGATGTCCCAGTGGGGAAAGGTAGGATCAGGTCTCAGAGCAAACTTCCCTGTCACAGCTCCCAGCCTATAGGTACAGAACCCTATTTGACTTCACATCTTGACAGTATCTTTTATGTAATCCAAATAGTCTAATTAGTTGTTGTTTGGAACCTTGCATTTTTGAGTGTCCCAAAAAATGCCAAGAAGGTTTATAATATCTGGTAGAAATAGGATCTCTTAACATCATGACATAATATAGACCAGATTTGGTCATTGTTACAAAGTGATCACTCAAATGTTTTAGAATGAGTATCTATTTAAATAAACCATAACTCTTTTAATAAGAACTCAGCTGTTTTTAAACAACCAGAACTTAAGGAGTGAAAGATAATACAAAGATTACTTCAGTAAGATACAAAATTGATATCTTTTTGGTCTGTCACCAAAATGGGAAATAAAAACTTTGAATATAAGAGTTTTCATGACCTGGAACAATTTTAAGAGTCAGAAATAGGGAAGAGAAGATAGCTTACTGGAAGCAGCTAGAAAACTGACAGTCACCAATTAGACAAAAACTGTTAAAGAGAGATGTCGTAGTTTTTAAATAGAATTTAAAGAATATTTAAAGATTTTCACTAACATATATGTATTACAACCTTTATTATATTTATTTAATATATAATATTCTATATATGTATATAATAAATATTTTTATTGCAACCTTCATTACCAAGAACACATTTTTATACTTGTGACCCCCTTTTTAACCTGCTGATTTATTGATTGACATTGAAATAGTCTTTTAAAAAGCTTCAATTAAGACAACATTTTCCAAATAAGACAATACATCGAATTTTAACCTTAGTTGCTTTTAAGCTGTGTTGAATTATTTTTCGTATATGACTGTTTATGAAAACATTTTTGTTAACAAACCCAAATAGTTTCTTTTACAGAATATAAGGTGTTAGGGGCCAGCACTGTGACATAGTGGGTAAGGCTGCTGCCTCAGTGCTGGCATCCCATGTTGGGTGCCTGCTCGAGTCCTGCCTGCTCCACTTCCAATCCAGATCTCTACTGTGGCCTGGGAAGGTAGTAGAAGATGGCCCAGGCCCTTGGACCCCTGCACCCACGTGGGAGACCAGGAAGAAGCTCCTGGCACCTGGTTTTGGATCAGCGCAGCTCTGCCCTTGCGGCCAATTGAGGAGTGAACCAGTGGATTGAAGACTTCTCTGTTTCTCTGCCTCTGACTCTCCTTCTTTCTCTGTGTAACGCTGGCTTTCAAGTAAATAAATAAATCTTTAAAAAATAATATAAGGTGTTAAGTGTGGCAATGTTTACATTTAGACACATTTATCTCATTTACCTTTATTCAATTTATATTCAATGATTACATCTATGTGACTTAACATGCTGATATTATACCATACCTTTATCTGAATTAAGATCAAAATTACATTTACACAGAATTCTACTCTCCTTATAAAACTGTAGCTGGAAATCAGTGACATACACCAGAGATTGCAAAATCCACCTTAGCGCTGATTACCTATTGCTATTTTTCATCTGGATCTGTAAAAACCAAGTCACAAAACAAGTTTGGTAAGTTACAAGGCAATTTTTAAGGCAGTAATCTTTCTAGGTTCGAAAGAGAGAAATTCTTGAAAAGGCATCTGCTTAGACTGAGCAGAACCCATGTTCAATGGAAGGCACAGAGAGCCTCCAGAGACAAGGGAATAAAGGAGACAGGCAGGCAGGACAAGGAGAAGAATTTACCTTCCAGGTAAATGCAGACAGCACATTGGAAAGTGGCCACGAAACAGGAATAGAAACCAGTTATATGCAGGAAAGGTTGATAAGTCTGTCTTTGACCAGAATCTCCATCCTAATGTTTCAAGTAGGAGATAGACAAGAATGATAGTAACGACAAATAGCACAACGACAGAAAACAAATTATATCCAGGATCAGCATCCCCATCCTAATGCCATCACACTCAAATGGAAGGGAGACTGTATTGGTGTCTCATAAGACCTCCAATACTTCAAAGAAACATCAACTTACCAGAGGACATAAGGCCGGCCGGCGCCGCCATAGCTCAATAGGCTAATCCTCCGCCTTGTGGCGCTGGCACACCAGGTTCTAGTCCTGGCTGGGGCGCCGGATTCTGTCTTGGTTGCCCCTCTTCCAGGCCAGCTCTCTGCTGTGGCCCAGGAAGGCAGTGGAGGATGGCCCAAGTGCTTGGGCCCTGCACCCGCATGGGAGACCAGAGGACATAAGGCCGTTTGGTGGGTGAAGAGATTGAGCCGAGCCTCCCAGGTCAGGGAATCAGGACATAGGAACCTGGAACGTCATCAGGGGTGCCTCTCCTGTGGCCAGAGCACCAACCTGGAAGGACTAGAGCAAGGTCTTCCCCAGGGGTAGTCTCTGTATCTCACTGGGGCCTCCAAAATGTGCCTGAGTGAGTGCAAACTGAATGAGTGCAAATAGAGGAGCACCACGCACTGATAAAATGTGACCATCCTGTATTGCCAGGGTGGAGAGCAGGCTTATGCCCTAAAGAACTCTCAACCCCAAAGCCCAAAGCAATGGGATTTATAAAGGCAAAAGCTACAAGGAGGGGAGGGGGGATACATGGTTGCTAGGGTCTAGCTGACCTAAAGCATATGTGAAACTAATATCAATTACAATTTTGACATTAAAACAGGTACCAACCTAGATCATATGTGGGACATGGACAAATTATAATCATAACATTAATCAGGGTGTAGCCATCTGCTACGGGGTTTCTAGGTTCTGCTAAGTGGGATGTAGCGTGCTGTTATTGTCTTAGTTGTAGACCATGGTTAGTTTCAGACCATAGTCTCACAGTGGGGGGGGGGTGCTTTCTCAAGATGGAGGCTCAGCTGCCCTAAAATGGAGTCCCTCCTGTCAGGGTATCACTTCAAAACATTGGCATGTCTGAAAATCTGCACAGAATGCTTACTTCCAGGGCTCCAGCCTTTCAGTGAACAAACAAAATTGTTCCTTCTTAGCAGATCTTAAAAATTCAAAAGCTTATATATAATAAATTAAAAATTAAGTCTGTCTTGGGCTTCTTCATTTTTTAAATTAAAGACTTATTTATTTATTTGAAAGGCAGAGTTACAGAGAGGTAGAGAGAGAGGAAAAGAGAGGGATCTTCCATCCACTGGTTCACTCCCCAAATGGCCACAATGGCTGGAGCTGAGCCGATCCGAAGCCAGGAGCCAGGAGCTTCTTCCAGGTTACCCATGTCAGTGCAAGGGCCCAAGCATTTGGGCCATTTTCCACTGCTTCCCCAGGCCATTATCAGGAAGTTGGATTGGAAGAGCAGCAGCTGGGAGTCGAACCAGTGCCCATGTGGGATGCTGGCACTGCATTTACCCACTAAGCAACAGCACCAGCCCCAGTATTTCCAGTTTTAAGCTTTGCCTTTCATGTGCAAGAGATCAAAGGGCTTTCTTAGCATCTCAGTGTGGGTGCTATATATAGACTTTAGCATCAGGAGTAAGAATATCAAACATCGTATCAAGTTAGTATTTCTCTTTCTCTCTCTCGCAGCCCCCCCCCCCCCCCCCAAGTTTAATGGTGGCCCTCTGCAGAAGTTGTAGTGTTAGGGTCGAGAAACGTCCACCGTCCCAGGAACGACTCCAAGAGACACTCTCATGCAATCAGCAAGGGGTTATTCAGACCAGCATGCTGGGGCTCTCTGAACATGGAGGAACAGAGCAGCCCCGAGAAGTCAAGGGTCAGGGTTTTTATACGGTTTTCAGAGACATTCCACACATTATGGTTCCATTTAGCAAATCATCTCACACCGAGGGAAGCTCATTAGCAAATCATCTCACACTGCGGGGAAACTCAAAGCATCTGTGGGGAGTTCAAAGGACATCTCCTGCAAGGGTTACACAGCTTTGGCCCCTTATCCTCACACAGGTGCAGCTGTAAAGATAAGGAACCGAAACTATACAACCCCCGCCCCACAGGGTTTCAGCTTTGGGGAAGGAGGTTTGGGCCTGCAATTTTCTAGCTGAATTCTTCAGTAGCCCTGGCAGTGGCTTTACCCGCTATGCCACAACACTGACCCCAACCTTAAATTCTTGAACCAAGGTGGCTTTAGACAGCATGAGCCTTAGACTATTTTCCAACAGAACAGGGTAGTGTCTATATAGTGGTCGATTCTTCCTGCTGCTCTTATGTTAACACTGCAGCCCAGGGAAAAGTATTATTGATACAGGACACCTGTCTCCAACAGATTCTGGATCATCAAACCCCCTCTTCCAAGGAATTGGAGACTGGTTTTCAAGTTTATTCTCCTGGATACCATCAGGAATCAGGTCCATTTTCAAAGAGATCTTAAAGGTAGGATTAGCACTCCTGTTAATATATTGGGATTTAACTCAGGGCTTATAAATCATTATGTCCTGTATGCAAAAGATTTGTAAACAAACATCTAAACTAACAGCTAAACAAGTGTGTGACCTACTCTCCTTAAAGAGGAGAACTAAAGAAGATGTATTCTGTTTGAAAAGTCTTCCATTCCCCAAACCCCTCCTTGCCCCCAGGCAGCAGGAAGGAGTCCTAGTGGAGTCTAGGGAGTGAAGGGTTGCCACTGGGGAATTGACAACTGTGCCGCATACGTCTTCTTTTCCTTTTCACGTTCTGGTTAACAGAAGCTCACGGCGGATTTTGTGACTAATTAAAGGGTCCACTAAATTCAACAGATAAATAATTCTTGCTTGAAAGTTCCAGTAACTGGCCTTGAGAAAACCAGCTGAACTTGTAAAGTAATCTGGCCCGTGCTGGTCATCACAACCAGAGGATTGGAGTTATCATGACTGCTGGGAAACGGCTGAAAGAGCAGACCTCATGAGAGGAAGGATACCACAACCACTGGCCGAGGCAGTCAAACTTCACCTTCAGTGCCATCCAGCGTGACTCTCGGGGCCAGCCCTGTGGCGCAGCCGGTAAAGCCACCATCTATGGGGCCAGCATCCCGTATGGGCACCAGTTTGAGTCCTGGCTGCTCCGCTTCTGATCCAGCTCCCTGCTAATGTGTCTGGGAAAGCAATGAAGATGGTCCAAGTGCTTGGGCTCTTGTACCTGCACCCACGTGGGAGACCCAGAAGAATTTCCTGGCTCCTGGCTTCAGATTGGACCAGCTTTGGTCATTGTGGCCATTTTGGGGAAACAGTGGGTGGAAGATCTCTCTCTCTCTCTCATCCTCTCTCTCTCTCTCTACAATTCTGACTTTCAAATAAATAAATAAATAAATAAATCTTAAAGAAAGAAAGGATGACTCGCAGCACCAATCCTAGAAATCTGTCTGACAACCTCCCCCAACTTCCCTTTCTCCTTTAAAAATTGTCTTGATAACTTGCAAATTGGGGATGAGGGGAGTACTTTTGAGACTGAAGGTGTCTGCCCTTCCTCCCAAGATGCTAACCGATTGAACAAACCTGTTCCCTGGCATCAGCTTCCATCTCCGGTGAATGGACTGTATAGCGGCGAGCAGAGCAGACCCACTTTTAATTGTCAAAATGGGGCATAAAGGTTGCTGGGAATGACACACTGAGCTCACACACTGACCTCACACACTGAGCTCACACACTGCAGCTCACACACTGAGCTCTCACACCCTGAGCTCACACACTGAGCTCACACCCTGAGCTCTCACACACTGAGCTCACACACTGAGCTCACACCCTGACCTCACACACTGAGCTCACACCCTGAGCTCACACACTGAGCTCACACCCTGACCTCACACCCTGAGCTCTCACACACTGAGCTCACACCCTGAGCTCTCACACACTGAGCTCACACACTGAGCTCACACCCTGACCTCGCACACTGAGCTCACACCCTGAGCTCACACACTGAGCTCACACCCTGACCTCACACCCTGAGCTCTCACACACTGAGCTCACACACTGAGCTCACACCCTGACCTCACACACTGAGCTCACACCCTGACCTCACACCCTGAGCTCTCACACACTGAGCTCACACACTGAGCTCTCACACACTGAGATCACACACTGACCTCACACACTGAGCTCACACACTGAGCTCACACCCTAAGCTCTCACACACTGAGCTCACACACTGCAGATCTCACGTTGAGGTCACACACTGAGCTCACACACTCTAGATCACACATTGCAGATCCCATACTGGAATTCACACACTGGAGCTCACACACTGGAATTCACACACTGTGGCTTTACACCAGAGAGGACATCCTAGACCCACGTGGTTCACTGATAGGGGGCAAACTGAGGCAGTGGGTGCAGCTGGATCTAATCTGAGGTTGCTTCAAAAGCCACAAGCAGACCCGAGAACAGAACCCATATTCCCAGGCTTGGGTCTTCCCCTTCTCGACTTACACAGAAGCAACCCTTCTAGAGGCAGGGGAATGCCTGTTCTGGTCTCCTGGAAATATGGAGAGGAATCTTTTATTTTTTTGACAGAAGTATGTCCGAATGTGAGTGCCTTTGTATCCTATTTGTCATTTTATTTCCAGTACTCAGTAGTACTCAATAAGTAGGAGTACTTTTTCAGTACATGCACTAATGGTACTCGGTAAATATGTGTTGATGAGTGAATGAATGAATCAGGTTTGATGGAGCAAAGACAGAAGCCTCAGCCATTCTCCCTCATTGCCTAGAAGATAGATAAATATCAGACCTCATTCCTTGTTCCCGAATGTCAATGCATTCTAACACCTATTGTCTGTACACCGCCCCCCTCACCAGTTTTTCCGCAGGTTCGGAGGCGCTGGGCCACTCGAAAGACAAGTATGGAGGAATTCACCTCCACCTGCCGCCCTTTACCCCACCCTCACCCGTAGGCCACCAGAGATAGAAAAAGGCCTGCCCCTGGGGCTGGGACCCTCTGTGATGTGTCCAGTCTGTGCACGCCAGCAGTTGGTCACTCACCTCTGTGGATTTATTTTCTTCGAATAAATTTGGTCTGGCTGTAGATTCATACCCTGCGTCATCTCTGTTCTGTGCTCTTTTCCTAACATTTTGGTGCCCCGTGTGAGGAGGGGAGCACAGGATCCAGCTTCCGGGTGAGAGCCGCGGCCCCTCCCCCTTCCTCTGTACTCTCTCGCCTCCCTCTGCGGCGTGCTGAATCTTCATTCTCAGTTCAAGGAGGAGACCGTGGGTGTGTGGAACCGGGAATAACCTGGTGGGTGACTGAGAGCCTCTGACCAGGGCGACTCTCCGGTGAGACTCGAACTTTCCAGGTGAAAACCAGACTCTGACAGCCCGACAGGTTATCCCGGAGTCTATCTCCCTTTCTACTGAAATTTCTGACTTGGTTCCTCTTCGGGACTGGAGAGGGTACAACTTCCAGGACTCCCCCGGCTGTCCTCTTTCGAGTGACCCGGTTGGCCTGGGAGACACTGCTCCGAAAACCACCCATACGAGTAGAGAACAGCCTTAGTCATGTTTCTCGCTCCCAGTTGCATTTCCTCATTTTCTCAAATGAATACGCAGGCAGAGCCCTTTGCCAAATCTCATCACTGCCTCCGACGTGAGATCTCATTCTTGACTCCTCGGGTTGGTAAGGAGGCCTCTGTTGCCTCAAGCACGCTGGGGCGACACTCAGGCCTGGTTCATCACCCTTTATAGGGCCTGGGGTGTTCGGTTGGGCTGATTCATCCTGCCTCAGAGGGCCTGGGTGTTTGCTTGGTTTCTCTCACCCAGGGAAACACGGGTCTAAGTGTGGGGATTCTCTTTCTCTCCTCTAGAGGACTCAGAACTTAGGTTCTTGGCTGGGGTAATTCTTTCCTGGTGGAAGGTCTGGTTAGAGTCCATGTGCCCTTCTCTCTGTCAGATCTTAGACTGAGGAATGTCTAGGCTTGTTCTCAGAGAATCCCTCCAAGTATTATAAGGGATTTCTCTACCCAACTCAGTCCTATAGCTTAACTTGGAATGATCTGTATTTAGTTCTGTCCTCTACCCTAACACCAGATGAATTTGAACATACCTGGCATGCTGCCAAACAGCATGCAGATGAGATGCACCACCAGGCCCCAGAAGCTGTTCAAGCCATCCCCAGAACTAACCCCAACCCAAACTGGACTTACCAACCTGGGGACCCAGGGCTACAGGCCTGAGACCACATGATCTCATGCCTGCTAGTGGCTATGGATAAGAACAGCCATAAATAGGTTAATTAGGAGAAGATCCAAGAGGTCACCCAGGAACCCAATGAAAATCCTACTGTATGTATGCCCTGCTTTACAGAGACAATGACAAAGTATACTAACACTGATCCCAATTCCCCAGAGGGACAGCTATCTTTAAATTCTCTCTCTCTCTCTCTCTCTCTTTTTATTTATTTATTTTTTTATCAGGCAGAGTTAGACAGTGAGAGAGAGACAGAGAGAAAGGTCTTCCTTTTTCCGTTGGTTTGACCTCCAAGTGGCCACTATGGCTGGCTCGTTGCAGCCGGCGTGCTGTGCCGATCCGAAGCCAGGAGCCAGGTGCTTCTTCCTGGTCTCCCATGTGGGTACAGGGCCCAAGCACTTGGGCCATCCTCCACTGCACTCCTGGGCCATAGTACAGAGCTGGACTGGAAGAGGGGCAACCAGGACAGAATCCAGCACCCCAACCGGGACTAGAACCCAGGGTGCCGGCGCCGCAGGCGGAGGATTAGCCTAGTGAACCGCAGCACTGGCCTAAATTCTCACTTTATGTCCTAGTCAGCTCCAGATATCCGTCACAAACTCCAAAAATTACAAGATGGTCCACAAACTCCCCAGAGGGACCCAGAGACGCAGCTTTTCATGTTTTTAACACTAGAGATGAAGAATTAAGGATTCAGAGGGAAATAGATAGAAAACTGAAGTTTCAGATGCCTGCCTCTGTCATCCACCAACTGCAAGTCATGTCCCCCTCCCACCCCAGAGGCCATGTTATGGATGCAGCAATGCTGGGAACTGGGCCAAGGCCTGCTCCAACTCAAAGTCCACCTCAGCTCAAGGCTGTAGCTCTCCTGGAGCCTGCATTGAATGTGGCAATACCGGACATTGGACCAGGAGCTACTCTAACCCTAGGCCTCCCCTTACCTTGCGCCCCAAGTGCTGACCCTGGGGTCACTGGAAGATGGGCTGCCCCTGGGGAGGGTAACCCCCCTTTCTGGAACAGCCCTCTGCTCAAACCCTTCTGCCACAGGACATCTCATCGCTGTTAAGCTTAACAGAATGAGGAGGCCCGGGTTCCACAGGCCCTGTCAGACGAGCGTAGGGACCCAGGGGTAAAAGGGACAGTGTTGGGCAAGTGAGTTTCTTTTTTGGCAGACACTGAGGCTAGTTTATCTGTTTTAAATAAATATTGCAATACACTCCTTCCCTCCACAGTCTCTGTTGTTGCATGAAAGGCCTTATTGAAACACCTAATAAAACCTCTCCCTTATATTGCTCCTGCGGAGACATTACTCTCCTGCATTCCTCTCTCATTCTTCCTAACTGCCTCACCCCCGCTAGGCAGGGACCTTCTCCACCACCTGGGGGCATCCATCCCCATTCCCACCAGGGGTAAAGCACAAACCTTTATACTTCACATTATGGCCCTTCCTCTCTCCACCTCTCCACCCCAGACTCCTCCCTTCCCTTGGTTAATCCTGTGGTGTGGGATTTCTCCCACCTGATAATCGCCACCCACCATACCCCCATTTGCATCTCTAAAAGACCCTACAAAAACTATTGTTCCCCAATATCCTTTAAGTCCAGAAGGGCATAGAGGTCTAAAACCCAATATAGACCGCTTCTGCCAAGCTAACGTACTCACTCTCCCCATAACACCCCTATACTTCTGGTCAAAACACCAGATGGCTCTTATTGCTTAGTACAGGACCTCCGAGGTATTAATGCTGCTGTCCATGCCACACTCTCCTCTCTCAGATACCCCCTACAACTTATTTCTTTTCCATCTTGGGCCCAAAGGTTGCCTTCTTCACAATTTCTCTCAACACATCTTCCCAACCACTCTTTGCCTTCACCTCGTCTGACCCTGAAACTTGCCAGACTCTACAGCTCACCTGGACAGTGTTACCCCAAGGTTTCCAGGACAGTGGACACTTATTTGGAGGGTCCTCCAGGCAGATCTAGCCTCTTTCACCCAGCACCCTTCTTCAATACGTGGATGATCTTCTGCTCTGTAGCCTCTCCCTGGAGACCGTGTAAACATACCACTGGTCTTCTGAACTTTCTAGCTGCAAAAGGGTGTAGGATATCTTGAAAGAAGGCTCAGTTAATTTTCACTTCTGTCACCCTGGGGGCTTCTTATGACGCCAGACACTCATGCAACTCCCCCAGCCTGAAAGCAGGCAATAATTCTCTTCCTCTCCCATGTGCTAAGCATGACCTCCTCTCTTTCCTGGGACTTGTGGGGTACTCTCACTTCTGCATTTCAAGCTTTTCTCTTACTGCTGTCTTTCTAAAAAACCTTCACTCTCTCTATCACTCAAACTCAAACTCTCTTATTCACCCCCTGAGATCACACATACCTAACTCCCACCACATGAGAAACTTGCCTAACATATCTCAGGCATGTAGCATTTGTCAAACTGCTAGCCCCAGCTCTAGTATCAGGCCACCCGACTCCCCACCCACCAGGCCTGCGGATCGCTCCCAGGGGAGGCCTGGCAGATTGAGCTCACCCATACGCCACTGGTTAGCGAACACGTTACCCTGTGGTTGTGGTTAGGATGGGCACCTTCTCAGGGTGGGTGGAAGCTTTCCCTACTACTACTAAGAGAGCTTCCACCATTCCCACTACACTATTAAATGATACTATCCCGAGATCTAGATTACTGACTTCCATTCAATCAGATAACGGACTGGAGTTTACCTCTCAAATTACTCAAATAGTATCTGCCTCTCTTCATATCTCCTGGGACTTTCACATTCCCTATTGCCCCCCTCCCTCAGGAAAAGCAGAACGGATGAATGGAATTGTAAAACAGGCTCTAACTACGTCTGCGTCCAGCTCCACTTAGACTGGGTAAAACTCCTTCCTTTAGCTCTGTTAAGAATTAGATCTCTTCCCTGAAAGCTGCTAACGCTTAGCCCGTTGGAACTTCTCGAGGGAAGGCCTCTTCTTTCACCTAACTTCCCTCCCCTACACAGTTCTGAAGCCCTTCCTCCTCCTGGCGTTTCCCTCTTCCTACTGAAATGCGCTCTCACTTAGGGACCCATGCAGTCACACATCTACCCAAACCGCATTCTATACCTATTGACTATACTCCTGCCTTTCAACCCGGGGACTGGGTTTATCCGAAACAAAATGAGGCTGCTCTAAAGCCAAAATGCAGCAGGCCCTACCAGGTTATACTGACTACCCCCACCACTGCCAAACTCAAAGGGCACCCCCCTCCGGGTACATTTTACTCCGCTGAAACTAGTAACCTCTCCCTCCTGTAAGTCCACCCCACAGGACCCACCTCTCAGGTTGATGTGGCTCCCTGCAGTGCGAGAAGAACCACATTCTCAAGTCCCTGACAAGTCCTGGATTCCCCAGATTTCTCCAAATTATTTTACAGGAAAGCTACTGGTAGTCCACTCCACCAATCTACCTTCTCGACCTCGGTCTCAGATTGCTGGCTCCAGGGAGATCCCTGTGACTTCTGTTTACACCCAATATTGTGATGCACTGTCACCATCTGCTATTGCCTGCAGCTGTGACCCAGCCCTAACTTTGGCCATAGGCTTGACAGCAATCGTCCCACTGACTGGACCTGTGTAAAAAAACTTCTCTTAGCAATCTTTTATCTCTTCTGGACAGGATGCTTTTCGGCCATCTCCTGCTTCTAACCTGTGCCCTATCATAGCTCCAGTCTCCCACATACTTCTCACCCACGTTTCCTCCCCAAATTCTTATATCTCATCAACATTTCCTCTGGCCTGTTTTTGAAGCTAATCCAATGTCTCTTCACGCTGGATCTGCACACACCCCTCCCCCAAGGGCTAGCAAGCCCTCCCCACCCCCACCGGGCTCTAGGAAGTGGCCCGTGGACTTGATTATATTACAAGGACCAGAACTCTCTTGGCAGAACCCCAGGACATATATCTCTTCTGGAATTGCCAGGAAGAAATGCCAGCATGGCTAGAGGAAGGGAGATCGGTGTTGTATAGAGGAATAAAACCAGAGGATCCATCTGCTCTAGCTGTCCAAGGCATTTTTGCTACAGGCCCCTCTAGGCATCACGCGCACTTTCTTTCCTTCTTCCCAGAATGTGGGTTCATGACCCATGATGCCTGTGGCCTAGTTGGCACTCTGCCAGGCCCACCCCCTACCAGCCACCCCTACTCCTCACACCCAATGGAAGCGGCTGCAGCGGCATTTACTCATTGTACCCTATTGCTTCATCAGGGCAGGAAGGTTATCTCTTACCTTGAGATCGCGCGTATAGGACCAGAAACTGGCATTCTTCCTCTGTGGTGACCAGGCACACACCTGCCTCCCGCCCACTGGACGGGGACCTGCACACTCACCTTCCTGTTTCCCCCGTGCCCTGTACCCTAGACCAATCTCTATTTTCTGTGACCCGCTGAGTCACGAGGGATTTTGGA